CCTGTCAATTGTCATTTGATTGTTTTAGCTACTCTACCTGCCTGTCTGGCTGTCATCTGTCTGGGTGTGGTAAAAACTGCCATAAACATTTTAATAAAAGGATTTACGTGTGCAAAAATTAAAATATTCATATAGTGTTTATCACAGTCTACAACTTCTTGTAATAAATAACACATTAAAAAAAAAAGCCATATAAAATAAAGTGTGCAAAGAATATGTGCCAGGAATATAATAAGTGCCCAGATTTCAAGCCAAAAGTTCAAGATTGAAAATGGTTCTGCAGTTCACCCACTCAAAACGAGGCCGTTATTTTTATTTATTGTCATATCTTAATCCTGACTCTTATCTATTGATTTTTACATAAAGTTGTTTGCTTACTAATATATTTCAGACTTCTCTTACGTAGTTATTTATTGGTCTGGTAAAAACTGTTTTAATTTAAATTCTTGAAATGATCCCACAAAGTCAAAATACTGTCCAGTTGTGCTGCAGAGTTAGAAAGAGAACATAAGTTTTAACTGAGGAAGCCAAATTAAGCTACTTAATGTCTGCCAATGTCACAAGGAGAGACAGAGTTTGAAACGAGAACATTAGATCAATTGTAGGAACCACACCATGCCTGCAATACATAAAGAAGCAACAAATAGAGTGGTTTGGCCACTTGATGCGAATGCAAACCGACCAACTGCCTCTACGAGCATACAACGAACAGCACTACTACCCTAGATCAAGAGGCAGACCGAGAGTACGATGGATAGACAATATATCAGAGATCCTGAGGCAACACGGACTAACAACAACACGTGCAACACACCTGGCCCAGGATAGAAAACTACGACTCCCCACTACGCTGTGAGGCAATTGTGGACAAGACAAGACAGACAGACAGACAATGTCTGGGGCATACTGTGGAATCAGCAACGACGTACGGGAATTTGTTCAGGAATTGATCATGAATGTAGCTATATAAACAACAAATATAATCAGATGTTTACTATCTGGGTTTCTTTCGGACGTCACGCAACAGTTAGCAGTACCCACACCAGCAGTACCCACACCTTTTTTAAGGAATTTTTTAACACTGCTGTAATAGACACTGTGTGGTGCGCACCAACACTTTTTAATATACATCTTGTTCTAATTCAACGAGAGGGGTGGGGGGGGGGGGTGAATAGAGATTCTGGAAGATATTCAACAATAAATAGAAAACAGGCGGATTTTTTTCACATGGACTTGGACTTCTAGTAATCCCCCCTGGTCTCTGGGTAGTGCGATCGGACGCCCGTGTGCATTGTTGCGCACGTAAGAAATTCCTTGGAAGTTTAAAATCGAAAAGTGTAGCCTAACTTCGCTGCCCGGACAAAACTTAGAATTAAAAAGCTACCCAAAGTATTTCAGGATCCTTGCCGGTGCTACAGAGCCTGTGCACTGCGCTGAGCTTCTTCGGACTCAGACTTGAGTTAGAAGAAGAACGGAGCACTTATGGGTTACTACCCGAGTGCCATGATGTTGATGCGTTGTTTAAACCTTCAAACCGTCAAACCTTCAAACCGTCAAACCTTCAAACCGTCAAACCTTCAAACCGTCAAACCTTCAAACCTACAAACCGTCAAACCTTCAAACCGTCAAACCTACAAACCGTCAAACCTTCAAACCTTCAAACCGTCAAACCTTCAAACCGTCAAACCTTCAAACCGTCAAACCTTCAAACCACACAGCCAAACTAAAACAAACGTCGATGAGAGAAACCTGAGCTGCTGGACCAGATTCCATCCATTCTATTGGACTGAATACACAAGATAGAACTAAATGGAGGAATAGACTGGGAGCTCTTTGTGACTTTCATAGTACAACAAGACAACGATGATGATACTGAACTTATAACTGTCAAAAGAAATTGCCATTACTGTCAGTTTTTTCCACTAGTGCGATGTATGAAGAAGGATTTAAGGGGGTTTGGGGGGGAGGGGGGGGGGGTCGTAGAATTAAGGTTTAGTACAGTCGTCATGGTGCTATAGAAAGATTCTCAGAATATCTTGGACAAAGAAGAGGAGAAATACTGACATCTTGAAAGATCTGAACATCAAGGAAGATTGGCTAATAAACAGCATCCTGTCTCGGAAGCTAAAATATTTTGGTCATACCAAGCGCCACGACAGGTTGGAAAAAAAATATAGCAGAAAGCATGGTACCAGGAAGGAGCCGAGCGACACGAAGATGGGCACAGGATATAAGTGATTCCTTGAGTATGATAGTACATGAGGCGGGCGAGCTGGCGAGAGACCGAGTTTCTTTCAGGCAGACCGCGATGAGAGAGACCTGCTTCATAATGATGATGAGGATGCAGTCGTCATGGATTGTGCAAGCTATGATTATATATATATATATATATATATATATATATATATATATATATATATATATATATATATATATGCCCCGGTGTTACACCCATAACCTTACAGATGATACTAACCTAGGGCTTCCCTTTTTTCATAGTCAATCGTTATGAGATGCTTATCCTTACGTCCTTTTTAGGATAAAATTTTTTGTTATTTGAAGCCCCAAACTGGATTTTGCCAGGGGCCGCAAAATAGGCAGGCCATAAATATGGCTAGTTGTCCGAACGCGGTTTCTGGGACCTCTCCACGGTGATCCTCATCTACATGGTGGCACTTTGTGTCATCGGGTGTTTATAGCTTGTGTGATGTCCTGGTGGGGTAGAATGTCAGTTAGTCAACCCTTCCCCTTTTACTTATAACTACTGAATAGAATGTTACAATTTTAGATTGATTCTATCATTGGGCCATTTTCGTTTTCAGTGGGTACTGGCAGAACAATTAGCCTACGTGGTCACACACCGAGGTAGAGCATTGTTCCACTGTTGGGATACATGAAGTCCACGGTGTTGCCTGGGAAGAGTCATGTTATAAAGACGGCATTTATATAAATAGATCATACCATACCACACAAATAATAATAGTTATCAATAATAACACTTAAAACAATAGTCATAATAATAATAGCAGCAGCAGCAACAGTAGTAGTAGTAGTAGAAGTATTAGTAGTAGTAATTGATAGCTACAAACTTATAAACAACGTGCATTGCTAGTAAAATTATCATATAATTTATAGTTGATAGATCATACATAAGTTCATTCATTCGTTCGTTCATTTATTCAGTCCATTTTTACGTTCCTTCTTTTGTTTGTTGGTTCGGTCGTTAATTATTTAACTCTTTTTTCATTTTTCTTCGTTGACAAAAGATACATTTGTTTATTTATCTTTTGGTCTGTAGATTCATTTTGTTGCTTTTTTTTTTTTTTGGCACCATTTATTCATTCGTTTATTAATGTATTAAGTGGTTGTTATAACTTTTTTTAAAAAATTATCCTTCTTCTCTTCCAACTTAGACTGCCACTACTATGAGCGCTTCGTTCCCATCTTCAGCAGCCAGTGGAGAGTTCCGATACTTATGGTGCCAGTAGTATTCTGATTAAACGTCCGTCTTGCCTTTCCTCTAAGCGTCGAGCCTCTGCCATAACCCCTTGTCACTACCCGCTGCATCAACCTCACCAGACTTCTGATCCATCTGCTCCTCCGAACTGTACACTCTCTCCCACAAGGCACTAACCACGTATGTCTTATCATGTAACAGTATTCCACAAAGTTGTGCAGAGCCGGCCAGTCTGTCCGCCTGTTCATTTCCCAACACATCGGCGTCTCCCGGTGAAAAGCTGCAGACAATGCTCCTCACCCGTGTCCTCCGCAGTGAAGCATGTCACTCTGCACGAAGCATGCCTGTCCTGACCTTCCTCAGCATGCTTTCTGAGTCATTTATAATCACGATAAATCATTTGTGTTCATCTAACTCACGTGAGGCTAATGCGGGAGATGACCACCTGGAAATAAAAGGCCAAAGAAACGCGTGCAGTGTGGTGTTTTGAATAGCTGCCGTTACTCAGTTACGGTCAGTATGCTCACTGTTTGCTTTGAATAATTTTTTTTATATAACGCCAGTTAAAACAAACTAATAACTAGATGTTTGTTTACATTTAAAAAAATCTTACATGGGCATGGAAGTTAGTTCGACGTTAGTCTCCCCAGACCCCGCCCATATACATACTAGCTTACTTCTGATTGGTTGTTCCTGAGCCCCGTGTCCTTCGCTCACGGTTAAGGGGGTGTTCCGCAATGCCGTTGATATCGCATGTTGTATATTTCAGCACGCCAGTGCTTTTAACACTCCAGAAACATGGAGAAACTAGGTCTAACACAACCACCCCTAGAGAGTGCTGCAACCTACGTCACGGGCATTCTCTTTCTCGGAATGAAAACGTAAATGCAAGACATCGCAAAAACCAAACAACAGAGCGGGACACACCAGTAACCTTCAGGAAGGTTGACCAGCCCAACAAACTTATGAATGAAAAGTGACCTACTCTATCTGGGGAGACTAACGTCGAACTAACCGGACATGGTTATTAACAGGTTACATGCCAAATTTCAACAACTGACACCCCACGGTCACCGAGTTAGAGATTTTTAAAGTTAGGCTTGACTTCTGAAACGCACTATACATAATTTTTACCTTCAGCGGTTTGCCATTGCTTAGTGAACAGATGAAGCTCATACCATTGTCGGTTTCAACGCAAAGCTATCTACTGCAAAATCATCTGCGTTTATAACCTATAAGCCCTTTAATGTCGGCTCTGTATATATATTTTTTTCAAAGTTCAGTGTATCACTGTTCTCATTGGGAATATTACATGGTGGAGTCCCAATCTCTTCCACGGTGCGACTCTCGTACCATTGACCCAAAACCATGAGAACGGAGCTTTACCCGTCCACCGCAGGGAACGAACCACTGTACTCGAGGGTCGTGAAATTATTAACCGCATTCGCTTAGCTCTTAGTCATAAAGCAGCACTCTGTATACATTAATGGTCGTTGAAAAGTAAACAGGCACGTCAAGAACCAAGGATACAAGTATTTCTTACGTTTTGACTTGGAATTTCCTGATCTATCCAAGAAAAAGACAGGGCGACCCACTTGAGGGGGTCTGCTGTAGACCGGGAGACCCATCTGTACTTCTGGATACAGCCGGGGGTCTGCTCGAATTGTATAGAACAGAACTGGAGGTCTCTGGCGAGGGCTTTGGGCGTTCTGAGTGAAGGTTTTGGCGCGAAGACTGCGCCGCTGGTCTCTGATGTCTGAGTGTTGACTGGTGCCGCTGAAGGTGCTGGAGCGACGGATGAAGCGTTCGGGACGGTAAATGCCGTTTGCCATTGTTATCCCGTCTTGGTACTTTGGTAGTGGCTGCTTCTCTGCTCGCCTTTTTTGTCTGTTGCAATAACAACAACAAAAAGTGAAGTAAAGGATGCTGGATGAAAGGGGGGAAATCAAAAGTAGTGAAGAAATAAAATAAATGGGTGCTTTATTAATATCCTACCCGAAACAGGGGAAATCCACCGGTCACGGGACAGTCTAATATTTTAGGGGGTGGTAGACAGTCGTTGGACCTGGGCTGCACTCTCCAGTGGGACTAAGAGGATCGGGGTTAGGGCCAGTTCTATGTGTTTTCGCTTGGTTAAAAGCACCAGAAAGCCGGGAAACCCAGTCTTACCACATTCTAAAATCTTGGAATGTGACGTCGTCTGGGGTAGGATACTAATAAAGCACCTAGACATGTCTGCGCAACGACTAGTATCAATATATATAAGGCAGAGAAGGTGGCGTTATACTGGATACATTATGAGAAGATGGCGTTATACTGGATACATTCTGAGAATATGGCGTTATAATGGATACATTCTGAGAATATGGCGTTATACTGGATACATTCTGAGAAGATGGCGTAATAATGGATACATTCTGAGAAGATGGCGTAATAATGGATACATTCTGAGAAGATGGCGTTATACTGGATACATTATGAGAAGATGGCGTTATACTGGATACATTATGAGAAGATAACGTTATACTTGATATATTCTGAGAAGATGGCGTTATAATGGATATATTCTGAGAAGATGGCGTTATACTGGATATATTCTGAGAAGATGGCGTTATACTGGATATATTCTGAGAAGATGGCGCAATACTGGATACATTCTGAGAAGAGACTACCAGAGAATCACCAAAAAGGCATCTAGATGGGAAAAAGAGGAAATGAGGAAACCACGACGTCCAAGGGAAACGCCCTGGCGAAAGTTGACGAGAGAAGCCGATGGGGCTGGAAGGAATTCTATCCATGATATCAAAGTGACTGGATAGAATAGAACGTATTGGAGAAATAGACTGCCTTCCATAAATAATATAAAATCATCTCCATGCTGACTGTGCTGCAGAGCGCTCCTTACCCCCGCAGAGAATGCTTGACTGATAAGGAAACTTCGGTCTGCTCAGAGACATATTAGGAAGTCACCATTTGCAAACTCAGCACATTACACACAGCAAATACCGTGGGCGCAGACACAAACAAAACCATTGTGGGTAGGATTGGGTGGGGACTGAGGAGATCCAAGCCAAGTTTAGGAGCGTAATAATACTGTGCGGACTGGCAAAAATACAATAATACGTTTGAAATAATATGAAACGTATTTTAGAAAAAAATCTCAATGAGACATTCTATACATTGGCCAGCAGAATTTCCCCTTATCCATGTTCTAGGGGAGGAGCAATGTTAGAGGGGTGTACATTCCCACTACATTTTTGTCTCTGAGGGGCTCAGAGGTTCAAAGCCTCTGGCTCATACTTAAATCATGCCTACGTATGTAATGTTTCCTCCACTGGCTTCAAGAATATGACTGCTTATGTTAGTTGCGTATCCTTTACAGGACGTTGCAGACCCAACCCCTGCATTTTTTGGCTATTGTGGTTTTTTCTAGGCAAATTTACGTCCAGTAGTTTGCCATTGTTTTCTGGACGGGTGGCTTCTTAATACCATCGTTGAAACCAACGCACGGGGCAAGACCCGCAGCTGGGATCGAACCCGGCACACTAGCATTACGAAGCGCTTTCGCAACGCCTAAGCCACAGACGCCGATAATTGCTTAGAGATTGGAATTCAGTTCCAGGATTATTTACAGTTTGAAAACTCAGTCTGTCTCTGAATAGTGAAAGGTCACTAAATCTGATTATTGTTCTCCCTTCAACATACCTACGCAGTTATATTAACAAATGACGGGGAAAACCAAAACGTAAATGCTAAGATGACCGAAGGAACAAGAAATGGCTTACCGTATGAAACACAAAATGGCGCCAATCGCTGCAGCAGAAACCAACAGTCCGCTGGCGACACATCCCGCTGCAATCAACGCCGTTTTTGTCTGGTCCGCGCTGACTTCTGCAGAAATCAGAACAATTTGGGAAAAAAAATGGTATATGGGTAATGTAGAGAAACATACGAGCATAACTGGGACATCAATGTTCAAAACTTATAGTATATATTCTGCAACTACTGCCTTTTATCGCCTAGTGGGCACGCAGTAATAGTAACAGACTCAATGGGCACACTAAAGCAGATCCAAACTGGCAAACTCCAACTAGAGTTGGTTGATAGCGTCCACAGTGCCCGCCTTAAAAAAAACTATTTTCGCTGCACACATCACGTTATGCCGGGGTTAAAGGGAATGAAAGAGCCGACAGACCTGCTGTATGGTTTGAACCATGCCAAGAAAGCTGTACTTTTGGTACCACCCCCGATGTTTTGGTACGTTTTAGACATTTTGTATCAATATTTCAAATTTTGACACTGTGTTGAACGATTCAAAAAAAAAAAGTTCTTTTTAGAGTGCTGAAAATAAGCGTGATTTAATTGTTGATGCAAAGCATCATTGGCGTGATTTGTCAAGAGTGTTTTTGTTTGAATTTCAAAGGTCTGTGCAGAAGTCTATCCGTTCATACAACTGGCGGATAGTTCTCTATCGTGTCTTTTGTGGCAGTTTAACATTTCAGTTTGTTTGATGTCTAAGCTTTTCTGAATCAATTTGTATTTGGAAGTATTTTGTGACATTTTGTTTATACGTTTAAAATTGTTTATGACCTTTAAGAAAAAAATTATTGTTGAGTTTACGCTGACTGACTGACTGACTTTCTACCCCACCAAGACATCACACAAGCGATAAACACCCGATGACACAAAGTGCCACCATGCGGATGAGGATCGCCGTGGAGAGGTCCCAGAAACCGCGTTCAGACATTTGGCCATATTTATGGCCTGCCTATATTGCGGCCCCTGGCAAAAGCCAGAGTAGGGCTTCAAATGACAAAAAATTTCGTCCTTCAGGACGAAACTGGATAGCAGCTAATTAAATAAGTTTACGCTTTCAATATGAGCAGGCATAAAATGTGAATGTTATAAAGAATCTTAGTTCTGATCAAATATAACGTAATATACATGTGTGAGTGTGTATGTTTGTATAGGCATTTTAACGTTTTTAATAAAAAAATTGAAAACTTGGTACCTTTTGGTATGTTTGGTACCTCTTAGAAAAAAAAATTGTACTGTTCCAAAAACAATTTCGGCAGCCCTGAATTAATGCCCCTCTATCTCTACTAATCCCCCTTTCAGGTGCTTTTACGCCTAGCTTTTTTTTCCTTTTGCCCTGTGGTTGCAGCGGTGATACTTCCAGTAGTTCTATTACCATATGTTCAGCAGTGTCTATGCTTACTGTCTGTATGTACTCCTTAGAACGGTGTATCTCTAGTTTAACCCAGAATCTGCGCAATGTATGTGTTTTTCCTCCATGATAAACGATAAATGTTAAATCGGAGAGGATGTTATTTTGTCATATGTGAAATCTAATCTGAGAATCTGAAATGTTAACAGCTTGTCATGAATGAAATATATATGGAAAATCTTAGAGTACAGAGTTTTGTCATAAATAAACATATATTTTGACACTCTCCGAGGATAGGGTTTGTCATAAATGGAACATACATGAAAAAATGGAAAAGCTTTGAGGACGGGAGTTTGTCATATATGGAAAATGCATGGAAAAACTAGGAGAATGGGAGTTTGTCATACATATAATATTCATGGAAAAACTAGAAGGATGGGAGTTTTTCATATATGGAATATGCATGGAAAAACTAGGAGGATGGGAGTTTGTCATACATAGAATATTCATGGAAAAACTAGGAGGATGTGAGTTTTTCCTATATGGAATATGCATGGAAAAACTAGGAGGATGGGAGTTTGTCAGATATGGAATATGCATAGACAATCTAGGAGGATGGGAGTTGGACATAAATGAAACACACATGGAAAATCTAGGAGGACGGAACCGTGTCATGAATTAAAAAAAAAAAATCATAATCATAATCTGAAAATTTGAAAGGATGGCCATTTGTCAAAAATAAAATTTAAATTTAAAATCTGAAAGAATAAAGCTTGTCGTAAATGAAAAATCGTGAAAATCTTAGAGGATGGAAGGTGTAGCACATAAAACATAAAATGAAAGTTTATGAGGATCACAGGTAGTCGTATACAGAAAACATGTAATTTACATCGCGTCGTTTAACTTATTCTCTTATGTCATGCATTTGCTTTTGTTATCCGCATTGCAGCGCCCCACCCAGCTCACATACACATACAAAAAGGAGAGACAGGGACAAGGGGGAGAGTCAGAGAGAAAGAGAGAGAGTTTAAGTCTTCCTAAATTCTTTTCTCCTTCGTTTGTCCTATAACCTCTTAAACGGAGCATAGGCTCTCAACTAACTCACACAACTAACACTTGCTATCGCATGCAGCTCACTCGATGTCCTCCTACCTACAGTTTCGACTTGTACATTGACACTTCACAACTGCAACACTCCCTGTTTTCACTCTATATTGTTGATGGCATTTAATATAATGAGCCCTTTTTAAAAGTTCTTTCCTCACACTTCTACATGATGTAACCCCTAAGCTTAATATCAGTAATCATTATCTATTTAATTTTTAAAAATTACAGAATCTTTGCATAGAACTGTAAGTTTTATACTTCTAGCGTGACGTTGTTTTGCTGTAGTGTACGTGCGCACATATTCAGGATAAGAAGCAGTATATAAGGTGGTGGGAGCACTGTCGTAAATGCAGTGCTCTGTCCTGTTTTATCCATCTTTTCGCTCAATTTAAAACAAGAAGAATGGATCAAGCTTGAACTGTAACAATTTTAGGCTATCAGTATTTCAAAATATTTGATTTTGCTTGATTGTTCAATAGTTTACCAAGTTTATGATTAATTTACCTTTGTATGTCTGTTTCATTTGACCCATTATTAAAATACCCACATGGGTTCCGTGTTCTATACCACACGACGACACAGCGTTTGACGACCCAGAACATCTAGAACTAGT